AATTGTTGACTAATTCACTAGTGTAGACAATGATATATCTGAAATGTCCACGCTGATTAACTCATGTAAGGGCGTGCATATTACCAACGGTGGTACATTTGCTAAGCTATCTGGTTAAAATGGTACAACTTAGGAGGCACATACGCGTCACCTTTAAATTTAATTTAAAATTATCATACTTGTAAGTACAGCATATCATCTCATTCTGGTACGTACAACTTATTACTACGTACACAATAGTATGCTGTGTGAAGATACTTTCTTGTACGTACACGATGGTAAGCTATACGTACCACAATGAGATATTATGTTGTACATACGAGATAGTTAAACAGTTCCAACAATATATATAATACCAAAATAATTGAATGGATATGTTTAATCGATTATACATAATATTGTCAGCCGAAAAAAACCTTTATCGTTCTTGTATAATGATATGATTAATATCGCCCGGGCGGTTAGGAGGGTTACAATAAAAAGTATTAATTTTCAGATCATCTATAACGAGCGGTCAATAATATAATTATGAAACTTATGCTAGTATATTTCCGCCGAGCGTTGCAAGTTGCAACTTGGGGTTTTGCGGAAGTGGTAAAATAAAAAACACACTTTAGGGTCAAGATACAAAGTAGACGAGCGTAGCGATGCCAACAAATATTGTTTTAATAAAGAAAATATAGTAAAAATATCAGATAACGGGAACCCACAATATTTGCTAGGATGCCGTATGGGATGCGTGGGGCGTAGCCCCAGATTTTTTTTATACAAGCTCCATGCATTATTTGATGCATTTTAAAATGTTAATATGTTCCCATTCCCGGCCGATCAGAACATTATGGGCGCCTGATTTTTCCTTTATATTTGTAAATATTTGATATTATTGTACATGTATATGTTTGTATACCTGTCAGACTGTACAACGATCCTAAAATTTCTAGTGGTCCTATTTAATTTGAGGGTCCAAGTATACTTGCCAAACTGTTCCTTTCTAGTAATCGGAAGTCAGGCGTTAAAATCCTGATCCGGGATTTTACAATCAGAACATTGTTGTTGATTAACTTTTTTAACTTTATAATTTATATTTTTTCATAAAAGATCTGCAGGGCTTGATTTTCTTTTCAGAAATGTAACAAAGTCACATTCTTGGCAAAATTACGAGGATCTTTAAATAGGCCTAAGTCGTAACCATTAATATTGAACCAATGGATGAACTTCAAAAACGTAACCGCGGGATACAATATGGCGGCGCCCATAGGTAAACAACGTGACCGTCCTAAAGTTGGGGTTGGTGTTTTGGTAACCAGTAAAAATCACCCCAATTGTGTATTGTTGGGGAAACGGAAAAACTCAACGGGCGACGGAACATATGCCTTACCAGGAGGTCATTTGGAATTCGGGTAAGTGACATATTTATCTGATATTTGCTTGTAAGCGTTAGCAAGTAAGTACGGATGCCGTGCATGTACTGATCTACTATAAGGCAGCCGCAAATTTAATGTGTTTAGCTTTGGATGCATAACAAAAACGTAGAAAACAATTAGTAATAACAGCAGGGACCACATGTGTACACCTTACGATGATGATGTTAACAAACATGAAAACACAGTTCTTTATATATAAATATATATACACATGTACTGTTGTAGGGGAAGTAACTCCTAAGAGCATTTGTCCCCAAGGCTTAAATAATGGAGCCGGTAAACTAATATACTGTAAGTTACAATAGAAAATTTAATTCATTTAAGGTCAAGCTGTATATGAGGTTGATTCTTTGTTTTGAATGTATTGAAAAGATCTTTTTTTTTTAGAATCCAATGTCTGATTATTTTTACAAGTTATTGGAAATTTTCATTCATGATGCTATTTTTTGGAGAAATTTCTCGCAACGTTTTCTGTTTCCTATCTGTGTGATATCGCTTAAAATCAGTTTGAAAATTAAAAGAAAACAGCATTTGTTACATCTACAATAACATACATGTAGGGTGATGTAACACCAAGACTTAAGTTTGAATAACTTGGAATATGAAAATTTCATTAAAAGCTAATTAACATGTTCAATGATTATTTATAAACAAATGTGTACATGTATAAATGTATACATTTAGTTGATGGTAATTGGAATTTAATGTTGCTACACGGAAATTTTAAACCAAGAAAACAATTTTCTACACATTCAAAACTACGTCTAAATAATACTAAATACATATAAATCATGCCAATACATAACCAAATTAATTTCAGATAATTTCTGTGATCGACTAATACCACATGGACATTCACTATTAACCGTATAACAATACAGTTGGCAGTCACTACAGATTACAGATTAACGGTAATTGACTAATTGCACTATATATGGTTTAAATTACATATGATTGTGATTTGTGACGATTCGCATGCAAAAACATCAAATTTGTCGTTGATATCTAACATTATGAAATCCGTCAGTTTACACCCCATTGTCATGGGCTGCATTGTGTGCTTGTAGTGAGGGATGGTGCGAGTGCGGGGCACGGGAGTTATTGGAGGAGACAGGATTGGTCCTGAAGGACATGAGGTACTGTGGGGTGGTCAACACTGTGATCCACTCGGACAACCTCCACTATATCGACCTATTTGTACGGGGGGAGGTGGACTCAGCCCACTCAGAGGAACCCCAAAATCAAGAGCCACATAAATGTGAAGGTCAATAAATATTTCTTCATGTTCTTGCCAACAAACCAAACCATTTCTAAGTTGCACTGTGATGTTTACGTAACATATAATGTACCAATAAAACAGTGGGCTCGCAGTATGTCATGTCTTTGTTGGGATATTAAGTTGGCTTTTAATTACAGACAACGCAATTATTATGGTATCAGCATGGGAACTGGATATAATCCACATATGGTCCATTAAACTTTAATTTAAGATCCAATATACAAGTAGGAACATACTAAGGAGGGTAGGATTGAATCACTGATTGATCCGCAGTGTGTTTCTATTGCATATCAGGTTGGCATTGGATAGACTGGGACAACCTTCCTTCACAGGATCAGCTGTTCTGTCCACTGCACCTCCTTATACAACAAGGCTACAACCCTTTCAAAGAAACAAATGAAGGTATTTCCTCAGGAAATACCAACAGGCCATCCGTGTTAGTGCCGAATCAGCGGGGCAGGCCAGGAGTTGGTGTTGGTGTATTGGTGACGAGTCCCGCCCGACCCGGCTGTGTGTTGCTCGGAGTCAGGAAGGGATCCACTGGAAGTGGAATGTTTGCATTACCTGGTGGGCATCTTGAATATGGGTAAATATTGGCGTTTCGGCAGGTTAAATATACAAAAGGTATATCCAACTCCTACCTATAGAGTAAGATGTCAGACTACCCAATACATCACCACCAAGGAAGTAACCAGGTTGGAATCTGTCCACCATCCTGCATCATATGATAACGAAATTTATAATACGGTACAGTAGCCCGAGTTTCCTCTGGCACTGACACCAGACTTTTAGACATTTTGACAGGCAGAGGAAACTCGTGACCAGACATCTATCTGTCATAATGTCTCAAAGTCTGGTGTGAGAGCCAGAGGAAACTCGGGCTAATCTTTTACTCAAGATGAGTCGAGAATCTCTAGCAAAAGCTAATATAAAACGTTTAAAATATCTGCATATTGTTAGTTAAAATTGACATTTCAGAGGCGTAAGTTTCATAGTACAATATAGCTTCGATAACGTAGCTTCTGACGACAAGACATTATTTTTGTATTTCCGGCCGGGTATTAATATGAGTATTAGGTTCATAGGAGAATAATAACCCAGCTTACACGTAAGAAAGTGTATTGCATATCTTAATGTAGTAAAAATGTACCACTGTTGTAAAATTTGAAGCAAAACGAAATATGACTTTCTCTACTGAAGTCGAAGAAGAGTGTTTTTATAATACACAGAAATATGCCTTCTTGGTAAGCAGAAAATATACGTTATGATCGCGTTCCAAAACCTCTCACTCCCCTTCTGAACTTGGAAATAGTTGTATCCCATTGAAGTCTCTGATATAATTGACATTTTCTTGAAAAAAAATCAAAAATCTAGGTTGTGAAAAAGCTTCATCAAAAAAAAATATCCTCACATGGTCCTGGACAAGAAACGTGTTGTGTGCAAGATGACTATAAAGACATTGCATCTGTATTATTATCCGTTTCAGGGAAGAATGGTGTGAATGTGGGTCCCGTGAGGTATTGGAGGAGACTGGGCTCATCCTCAAAGACATGAAATACTGTACAACTGTCAATGCTATCGGAGAGTCGAAAGACTACCACTATGTCACCTTGTTTGTGCGTGGGGAGGTGGACATGGCAGTCAGCCCAGAACCTCAGAATCTGGAGCCAGATAAATGTGAAGGTTGGAACATTTTTAAAACGTTCATAAGTTAAACTGGTCATCCTCAATATCCAGGGGTTACGCTCACTTTCGCTCTCTGCACCCCTGTATGTCATAGCAAAATTGAAGGCTCAGTGTGTAACACCTTGTTGATGAGACAAGAAGACATGTTCGATCCTTTGATGTACATCAAAATAATCTCGCGGTCATGTAACGGTAAACAAATGACAGGTTTTGAAGTTGAGTGTCGCTCCTTTGTCATCTTCAAAGGACAGGTATCAGCGTAGCGATTTGTCAGGGTTTTTTTATACCCGAGACCAATCAAGCAGCTATCTTTGTGCCTTCAATTTTGCTATGACATATTCCAGGGGTGCAGAGAGCGAAAGTGAGAGTAACACCTGGATATCGAGGATGTACACTGGTATGATATAGTCCAGTACCTGTATCTGATATATATAATTGTTGTACCTTCCAACAGTTTTGAACACCTTAAAATATGAATATATTATAATTTTTTAGCTCAATCATTGCATGCCTCTTCCGTTGCAAATTCGTTCTAATTAAATTAATCCATGTATGTATATTAAAGAAGCTTTCTTGGTTAAAGACCCCGTCATTTTTCTTCTATTGGATTACTGGTACCTGTCTTTCTTTGTAGGATGGCAGTGGAGAGATTGGGGTGAACTCCCACCACTGGACCAGCTGTTTTGTCCCCTACAAATACTAGTTCAGCAAGGATATCATCCCTTCGAATCCAAATGACAGTAGTCAGCATCACCCAAATCTTTAGTACTTGTGTCATTTCATTTTTTTCTATTGGGAGACAAACAGGATAAGACCAAGATACGGACATCTCCTAATTGGTGTTAATTAATATGACAGATCATACTTAAATACAAAGGTATAATTCTACACTTTTCCCTGTCATTTTCAAGGAAACTCTACATTTTCAAGAACAGTCAGCATTTTTCAGGATGTCTACAGGTAAAGTTTTTCAAATGAAATATAATATACCTTAAAATGAGATGACACATGCATACTACATTTGCTGTATGCAGAGCACACTGTTGCACTAGGACAAATTAATTGGTGCTAAATAAACATATCAGTATGCAGTACTAACATATTTTATTTACATTTGCTATGCATCATAGGACCATAACAAAATTTGCTAAAATAACCACCATGTTTGTACATTCCATTGATTCTTATTGGTACATTGCACATTTACATGTATGTATTACAGGTGAACCTCATTTAGCCAGGCATTCGGTCAACTATATGGGTAAAATATCAATTTACTAAGATAATGAAAGGCAACCTTTTTGAGTACAATTTAAAGGCTGATAGTCAGTAGAAATGTCTACTGAAAACAGTTAACTGCTTTTTGTTGTTATTTTTTAAAATTGTTTTAAAGTAAAGATATTTTTACATGAACACGAACCATTGTCACTATTATGAAATATGTGTACAATGTATGTGTTCTTTTCTTCATAAAAATTTGGTATCCATCACATGTTCAATGCATTTTACAGTGTTACAAGGAAATGTTTCCGTTAATGTGAGCCCTGAGGAATTGTACAGGCACAGCATTAAAATGAGATCTCAGCTTATGGGCTGCAAGACATTGAACATTGAGAGATGAACACCTTGGCAAAGGAAGTTAATCTAAGATAGAAAGCAGCTCTTTTGGTTACACCATGTTTTCTATACATCAGGGAGAATACAATTATCTCAAAGTGGAAGTCTTCATAGCAACTGCAGCCGATGCAGCGGTAACCTGCATCTTAATCTCATAAAAACATGTTTCAGTTATTTGCATTCAGTGCAAATATAATACATGTATAACAGTATATTGAATGCTTGTTCTATAAACATAACAATCATCTGATTGGAAGAATCTATGGCATCCACCAGTTTGATGTCAAAAGTGATGTCAACAATCGGGCCACAACATTCATAGCTGGTAAATGCCATCTGAACATGGTAGAGTTATAGTGTCAGACATGGCAATGTAATAGTGAATATATATCTGGAGGTGTAAAATCTTTCCATTAATTGACACCTCTAAACAGGCAATTATTTTGTTTTATAACAGAAGACATTAATACACAATTTTGACTGTAAGACTTGGCATTTTAATGAACTCATGCAAAGATTGATAAATGTTGGACATTCATAGCAATAACATAATATTTGCACAATGTACAGATACTAACACAAGCAGACTTACTGATTTTTTCAATTTATAATTAAGAATTTCATCATTAATAGGATTTTTTGCCAGATCAATTATGCTGTATATTGTATGTGATACAGAGAGCATGTCGCACCTTGTGTAATACTCAGATGAATTGCAATAAATCTTTGTAATAAAAATGTGTAAAACAATATTCAGTACCTTTGTTATGTACTTTGGACTTTCAACAGAAAACAAACAAAACAAATTCTATTACTCGTGAAATGATATATACTATCAAGGCTAATGAACCACACAGGCATCATGTATCCTCCAGTTCACACTGTGTAAAGTCTAAGGGTGTAGAGAGGGCCTCGGACAATTCCTGTGTCAGCAGGTCCAGCATTGCCACACCATCATGCTTGTATATCCATCGTCCATTTATGTAATCATACCGTTTTGGCCCACTGAAAAAAAGTGATGTGAAAGTCCTCCCAAAAATATATTATAACAGAGGCCAGGCTATTGTCTGAATTGCCTTCAGAACCATCATAATTTTGTGAAACATTTAAAGTGCAATCCCCCCCCCCCCCCCCCCCACCAAAATTAGGATACCACCAAAATATGTACATTTACAGTATGTATATCATTGTTTAGAATCTTTCTTGAGATCTTCTTGATTGAATAAGACAGTTAATACTTATTTCAACCTTGAGTTGACAACAGTCTGAAATAATTTCTCAAATGTGTTTGGACTAATTAGTTATTTAACCTAACCTATCTTGATGAGATTAGACATTCCTAATCATTTCTATTTAAAGTCTGTTCTAAGACGACTTACCTTACAGGAGAAGAGAGCCATATTTGTTTGTTAGGAGTCTGTTTATTTATCACATAGGTCCCCCAATCTCCACTGATTTTTACTGTCAAAACTCCACTCTGAAACATGAGATCAGAAATATTCATATTCAACACTTCATAATTAATAAACAGATTTGCAATCCCAACAGCTTTCAGACTGTTGGGGGGGGGGGAAGTCCCAATAGGCCTGTATTACTTACTGGTGACTCATCTCACATTTGAGATCTTCAAAGTTTGCCAAAGTTAAACTTGCATAAAAATCCTTTTCTTTATTTGTTAGAAGATTTTAACTTTTTTTTCCATGCAACCTTCAAAAATGTTCTAAGTCATTCCTTTCAGACCAACTTTATAGCCCTTCACACCTGCATGCTACAGCAGAATTAAAAAATTAAGAAAAAAAAATCAAATGTTTCAAACATTTCACACCAGTGACACTGAAAATGAGTCAAGGTCATTCATTTGAACAAACTTGAAAGCCCTCATTCCAGCATGCTTTGGGCCAAATAATATGACCTAGGCTACTTTTCACTTTTTCAGAATAACTTCTTGAAAGAAAAAAATTGATGCTGAACATGTGATAGAATTACAGCAATTGAGCTAAGCATATGAAATAATTTTTAACATGAGAAGTTTCATATCTGCACTAGTCACACATAATAAAAACATATTTAGTATTACATGATCTGAAGTTCATATATCTGCACTGGTCCTGACTATTTAACGACAACAAGAGGCCCAAAGTGTCTGTATTACCCACCTGTTTCTTTCCTTATCAGAATTAGAAAAAAGGTTGAAATGCTCCTCTAACTTGGAATCATATGCGTAGTGGCCATCTCAATTTTTTTTTTTACTCAATTGGTGCTTCAGAACTAATTGGGGTCATTCAGTGTGCACTTTAAAGTAATCATTCAAAGATTTAACTCTATTGTCACACGCCGACTATTCCATCTGGTACAAGGGGGGTGATACCTTTATCTGACTGAACATTGTGTCCTTTTTGCCTGAGTGATTTTTATACCTTTTGCCTAAAAATCCATTCACCGATACTTAAGGAGTTGTCAATTTAAATAACCTTAATTTCCCTTATAACAGGACTCCTTCCCTCTGCCTCCAAGGGAGGAGCTCATCTTTCCTGAAACAATGTGGAATCTCCTTTGCCTTGCTGTGACCAAATCAGTACTCAAGGAGTAATCTTTTAAAGATTTGTGTTATATAACTCTTATAAGCCCACATGATGCACACAGAATCAGCATCAGAAGCTGATGCCGGTACCTATCGCAGTTGAGCAAAGAAATCCTGATGCACTCAATATAAAGAAGTGCATCAGTATTTTCATCATGTTTGCACTATGTACCTATGATTTCCCTGGTCATAATCAGTGACATGCATGCTGGCCATGTCACAGGTGAGCAGTACTAGTATTACCAATATTTTGGTAGATATGTAATGTAAGATTATAATATTGTAGTACATGTATCATTTCTATGTACTCACTCCATAAGAAACATCATATTCTGCGTCACATTCTACAGTTTCTGCTATATCATCAAACTTCTCGGACAGGCGCTCGAGGGTTTCGTCTGCTAGGGCCTCATATTTATTCTCGGATAAACTGCAGAAACAATTCAAATTTAATCTGAAAAACCATCTGTTATGTAAGTAAATACTTATTGATGGGAGTGCCACAATGCTCAAGAATCCTAGCAAGTATACAACATTTACTAACAATAATCCTGCACCATGTGAGAAATCCAGTATGTTGTTTATGGAGGTCCCAAATTTTTGACAAATGTACCACATTTACACAATCTGATTAAATTCATCTGTTACATGGCTCCGCCTGAACGTTCAGGCGTAGTACCATGTAACATATGATTTTAATCAGATTGCACATTTACATATAGCCACATGCAATTAAGTTTTCCTCTAATTATTGTTTTCAGGCGAAAATGTTCCCATACAGTACAATTTGATCTTTTATTACTGCTATACCAGTAGGAGTTACCTCCCCTTAACGCCTTGCTGTGGATTTTATCAGAGATCAACATGCATTATTTTGTTTTTCTGTGTAAAGTACTAAGACCACACACAATGGTATGGTTTTATTTGTTTGTTTAATACTGTAACAAAGAAAAAGTCAAAGACAGAGGGCTCTATTAAAGGCAAACTGTAAATAAACACGAGTTTTTTAAGGTAAAACTACTGCAGTATTAAAAGTCTGTGGTTATTAAATATATTGTATTACGCAAATTACTTCATCTGTCAAACCTGTTTAAATTTACATTAATATTCATAATCGAAGTTACATTAAGACATTCAACAGAAAATCAAGGCCCTTTTGACATTATACTGGTTATTTCAGTGTAAATCACAAATAACAAGAAACATTTAAATAAGATACAATGTATTATGGGTTCATTGTTTTGATATATTCCTGCAAACAAATGTTTCATTTTTTTTTAGAAAAATAAATAACGAAAGTACCTGCTTGTGCAAAAGTTCCTGTGATGACCAATGCCAGCCGAACAAACAGTAACAGAGTGGGCGTGGCGGCTGGTTAATGGATACCTGAAGGGTGGTCCCTGTACACTCCTCTCACACACAGATCCACAGTTAATCTTCAATGATAAGATTAAAAACATTATAACTGATATGCGAAAAAATGATTTGATATGTCTCTAAACCAGGTGAAAATTGAAAAAAAGTGCAGAAGAAATAATGATGAATAAATGCAGTACATGTACATGATATGCATCTTCAATATTGTAATGGTGACTCATCATTAACACATATTTTAATATTTCAAAAATGTTATGATACATATATGTTGTACAATAACATCATCTGGTAAGAGTAATAGTTAAAAATAAAAAGGACAGGAAGTTAAAATTCATGCTTTTGTATACATTGTATATGGTGTACAGTAAAGCCTTGTGTGAAGTGGTTGTTTCCTGGCACAAGGAAAAGTACTTGGAACAACCTTAGCCCTATTATACAACTGTAATCACACATAATGTAAATACACAAATCTACCAGTAAACATAATGTATCCCTTTTATAAATCTTCAAAAGGGCACAATATTTCTACTGATAAAAAATAGCATATGATCTGTTTTATGCATTGAATAATGTAGTAAATACAAATATAGTATGGTTATATTATTTTGTAATGCAATTCTGACCCACTGACAGTCAAACACTTACCAATTAAATCACAGTGGAACACATTGTTTACAAACCATTTCTATGGGGTTACTTTATCTATCTTGTCGTTGACAATGTAACAGAGAAATCTTTTTTTTACATGTAACAGTTGTGCTCGATCAAAATGAAAACATAATATTTTTTACTTTGATGAAAAATGTGCTAGATCAATGTAATTTGATTTTATTGATTATACAGCATAAAGAAACGAACATTTAAATTGTGTCTTTGTAAGATTTTGATTGGTAGTCTAGATCTACATCAGACTTTGCAGTATAAAAAAAATGAAAGAACTGAAGCATGAAAAAAGAACCAAATTGCATGCATATATTAATAATCATCTTTTAATAAGCAGTAATTGAGTTTGGATGACTTTAACCTTTTACAGAAATATTTAAAAAATACTAAACGGTTTAGAGTAGATAAAATAAGAACAATGAGGTTTAATATAGAGCAATGTTTTTTTAACAAAATTGGTGATAAACAGACAGAACAGGGAGATGGACTGTTCAGTATTTAAACTTTTCAATTCTTTTACTCAATTTTGTAATAATCAATATCCAACATCTGTTCTGATCGACAGATGATGGATATTGATTATTACAAAATTGAGGAAAAGAATTGAAAAGTTTAAATACTGAAGTCCATCTGTAGATCGGAACAGATGTTTAATCCATTTGCATGTACTTATTTATGTTTAATTGCTGTAACTGGAATGGGAGGTGACTTATATAGGCTTTGTGTGCTGTCATTTTTTTAAATGAAATATCTTGAATTGAGAGATGGACGGAGATAAAAGATTATTTTTTTAATATAAACTTTATTTATTTTACAACAATTATGAAACAAGTTTTTTACAACTTATACTTATCACTCTTGTTGGCCCAGATATTAGCGTGAGGAGGGTCTGACTGTGGGAGGAAACCGGAATACCGGGAGAAAACTCAAATAGCAGGGCAGGTTATCCCTTTCCTTTTCATGTCCTATAGATCTAGAGGAATCAAACCCAGTCGCCTTGGTGAATAGCAAATGCGCTATCCACACAGCCACCGACCACCTTAGATTGCTTTTTGACAATCTAAATAAAAGCAGATTCTAATTATTATCTGATTTTAATTAGATTTTGTGATTTTGACACCATGGTCAGCATAATGCATTACCTTTATATGCCATATATGCGATTTTAAAATGTATTTTTTTTTTGTCTAATCTATAATTATCCTCTACTCTATACATGGATACTATGACACTTCTGTAACAGAAGGCTTTATAAATATAAACGAGAACAAACAAACAGGAGGTCATAGTCTCCGACTTGAAAAAGGGAATGTCTAAATTGAACTTAAGAATGTATTCCTTTAACGAAAGAGTGGTCACTACGATTGGAATTCCCTGCCAAATCACGCCGTCACATCACCAACAATAAAAACGTTTGAAGCCTGGCTGGATAAGCACTGGGGACAACCAGAATGTTTTCATAATCATGAACTTGACAATAATGAACTTATCCACTGTCGGGGCGTCAGCCAGCTAGAGTCTGACCATACATTTGATCTGGATATACAGGCTTTTGTCTGCGTCCCGTATTATTATATTATATTATTTACGTTTCGGTAATCCTACTCGTTCGTTTCGATACTGAGATGTTTCGGAACTTTTGTAAGATGTTCGGTACATCCAGAGGTCGTTTTGATATATTACGAGATTTTCATCATAGGTGCTCGGGTTCTGGAATATATGTGATATATCATCTTACCCTACTAGATATTGCAACCCCTTATACAAATAAATCATATAGTATAAGGGGATGCGATATTTAGTAGGGTGCGATGATATATCACATATATTCCAGAACCTGAGCACCTGTGCTTTTCATCACTTGGAGAAACATTTCAACTCGGGTGACAGTACCCAAATTGGATCACCAAACCAACATTTTATTAAATCTATTCATTTTTGGTTGTATTAAAAGAAGAATATGGATGGGCGTTCTTACAAACAAAATTAGCACCTGGGGCTCACTTGAGATATTTATAGAATGCTCTGAAGTCACTAAACAGCGTTTCTGGTTTATGCAAATGTCAGGACCCAAATTGGATCAATGCTTGAATTTTGCAGTATCTAACGCTTCAAATGATTAAAAAAAAAATCGCATATGAACATTTTATGATGACCTTTATAATTCATATGCCAAAAAGTATTTCTATAGTGTGAATTTATTCCTATAGTCCAAACAGAATGCATAGTTTTCACACGTGCCATTTTTTAAAACCGAAATCAAAACACTGACATTTGAGTTTGAATTAGGTTTTCTTGTGCATGTGCTATATATATATTTTGAACTTCAAATCTAATCATCTGTAGACAACAAATGGTGCATGGCTATCTGTTCTAAACCTACATCATTGTTATAACTGATTTGTTGACACATTTATTAATTTACAAGTATTTTGGGGTACTGCCTCCTTATGTACTGTTTGCCTTTTGTCAAAGACATATATGTCTCTGCTTTTGTGCCCCTAATTTTGCTGATTTAATATTTTTAAGATTCTTCAGCAATTTTTTGGCTTTACAAAATGGTAGCGAAACATTCTCTCCACATAAACCAGTGTGTCGACAATGCATCAAGGACTCTTGGATTCCTCAGAAGGAACGTCGGGAGGTGCACCCCGAGAGTCAAGACTGCACCCTTGTCAGGCCGATCTTGGAGAATCGCAGCATCAGTGTGGGATCCACACCAAGCCACCTTTGTCGCAGAAGTGGAACGTTAACAGGTCCAGCGACGTGCTGCCCGCTTTGTCTACAACGACTACTACTCCAGGTTCCCTGATGTGTTACAGCCATGATAGAACGACTAGGATGTGAATCTCTACAACAGCGGCGATCCAAACAGAGACTCGTCACATGCTATAAAATCATGCACAAACTTTGTTGATGTTGATCACCCAACCCCATATTCCCAAGAAGCTGGATCAGCTTATATTGACGTCAACACTACATGAAAACATTTTACCAGGCAAGTGAAAGCAGAACAAGAGGACAGCAAAGACCACGACAGAGGAGTGAACAAGGAAGTCTACCAATATTCCTTTTTCCCCAGATCCATCGGGTAATGGAATAAACATCCAGAAGAGGTAGCAACATCAGCTATACTGGATGAACTTTAGGGCCAAGCTCAACACCATTGCTTGGCCGCTCAGCATCCGGTAGACTAGCAACCTCCAGTCCTGTATATAGTTTTAACATTACTGTTTTAACCATTTGGGGAAGCCTGCTGTTTTATCAATCATGCGCCGAGTCAATTTACACTCCAGTATTGAACTTCAATTTTCTAATAAGGAGCATGTTTCTGATACAAATACCAACTGATGTGACTTAAAGTCATTTTTGAACTCTTTGGTGAATATGCATGTACCACACAAATTATCAAAACCAAAAGAAAGCCAACCCTGGATATCTCATGAAATTAAACATTTGATTAGTAAACGCAACAGATCATTTAAAAAATCAAGAAAGTCTGGTGATAAAGATCTAAAAAAGAAATATAAAGAACTGAAACATTCCATCCAAAAAAAGATTCGGCAGGAGTATTAGAAATATATAGAAAACATAGTTACTCCAGATGAGACCTCGGTCAATGGAACTTTCACATGCATGAAAAAAAAATGGACCTACATAAAACACAAGAAAAAATTTGGACCTACATAAAACACAAGAAAACAGACTTCACAGGTATCCCCCATCTAAAGGATGGGAAGCCCATTTCAGATTCCATTCAAAAAGCAAACCTACTCAATAAGCAATTTGAATCAGTTTTCTCTACATCCAAAAACATATCACCTGGCGTCTTTTCAAAAGAAAATTATATGAATCCAGATCAGACATCCAACCATGAACACCCCACTCATTACCCCAAATGGTTTTCAAAAACTACTAAAAAATCTTGATAGTTCCAAAGCACCAGGCCCAGACGACTTGAGTCCAAGAGTTTTGAAGGAATAAGCTAGTGAAATTGCCCCTATTTTGAGTATAATATTCAACTCGTCCCTACAATCTGGCACTGTACTGCAAGATTGGAAAACCGCATATATTGCTCCAATATTTAAAAAAGGCCAAAAATATGATCCTGTAAACATTACAGACCTATCGATATCTCACTCTTGCATTTGTTGCAAGTTAATGGAACATGTCATAGTGTCACACACACATCGTGACACATTCAGATCGTCACAATATTTTGTATCCTTGTCAACATGATTTTCGAACATTCAGATCCTGCGAGACAAAACCTTTAGAATGTGTTGATGATATTACCAACACTCTTGACAACTCAAAACAATCAGATATATTGGTAATGGATTTCTCCAAAGCATTTGATAAGGTCAGCCACTCTCCTCTTACCAACAAACTCAGTCATTATGGTATAGATGATAAAACTACTTCCTGGATCTCAAACTTCTTAAATAAAGAACCCAATCAGTACTTGTCGAAGGCGTCAAATCTGAGTATGTACCAGTTTTATCCGGCGTCCCCCAGGGATCTGTACTGGGGCCTAGTCTGTTCCTATTTTATATCAATGATATGCCAATTGGCTTTTAACTCCACGGTCAGACTGTTTGCGGATGATACCATCGTATATCTAGATACAAGAATTTTTATTTAGAGTCGTGTTTGTTACAATGCAACTTTAGCTCAGAAGAGCTATTCTTACGACTATGACGTCAGAGAAAGATGCAAAGAGATCGACTCAATACCCAGTACCGAAAACAGGAAAATACCCGAAACGTCTAGATAGAGCTGCTTAACCTCTTATTTTTGGGCACAGACTGTGCATGGTAGCATATCACGTATCAGTAACTCATCTTACATTTGCTGCAAGTCTTTGATATAATTTTCGCGTCCAATTTCTTGATGAAAGTCGTAGTAATGACAAAACCGATGAACTCGACATGTCGCCGGTGTCTTTTTGTTGTTCTCTTCTGCAACAAATTAAAAGAGCAATTCTCATTGGACAAATTTCGCTAGGCCTAACTCGGTGTAAGAGTTACCTTTCTTCCTTCGTTTTCTTGTCATGTAGGCAAGGAAATGAGTAGAGAAATACATTTGTAAGGTATCTTTTTTTTTTATAAAATCATAAAAAATAAACAGGAGATGGTTTATATATATATATAATTGTAATAGGGGGAGGTCCGGAGAGGGTTTTGCATCCGTTGTCACTCCGTTAAATCCGTTTCGTGATCGTATAGTTTTTAGCAATGGTAACGAGTCGACAACTTCCCCTGCAGTCCTCTCTAGACCTCGCCTCTTTCGTCAGGTTACAGACCTGTTTTCACTACAGGTTCGATCGCTGGATGTAGTGGTAATACCAGCCATTGATTCAATAACTCAACAAGGTGTTTAAAATACAAGTAACTGTTTATTAACAAGACGGAATGAATATGTACAACAAGTTTAACAAATACAAAGCATAGCATTAGTGCCAAACAATGACAACTAATGTTAAGAAACCCAATCCCTACGTAGAGTAAT